ATACTGCCAGCTGTGTGTTCCCCCTCTGGGTTAATGGAAGATTTACAGCTCACTGGATCGTGTCCCACAGAACAAAGCTTGGGAAATGCTGCCTTAAATTGTACTGTGAGGCCTCAACTTGATACAACTGCAGGTGGGCCATCTAGGAAATGGGTAGACCCATGGTGCACAGGGATTGGGGGGTGCCCTGTGCATCAGTTAGGGCTGGTGTGGACCACAGATGGAATTCCAAACAGGCTCAGACAACACCCAGGACATACAGCAGCAGAGGCTGGGGTCTGGCCTGGGGCTCTGGGTCCAGGGGCTGCCCACTCTAGGGCTGAAAAGGCAAAGGGCCAGGATAATTAAGACAGGGCATCAGTTCTTGATACTGGGGTATAAGGCAGGGGCTGGCAATACAGGAACTAAGACAAGAGGGTGGTCGGGTTCTCACAGTCCCTCACAACCGAGTTCTGATCTAGAGTCAGAAGCAGTGGCTCCAGCTTCCACGGTTGTAAGTGTGTGTGGACAGGATGCAGAGCAGGTCTGTGTTAGCCATATTGTTGGCTACGTGACAGAAACCTAACTCAAGTTAGCCACCAAGCCACACAGGAGGATCTACTGTCGTGTAACCGGGCAGCATAAGAGATGGAACTATACTCTGACACAGACGGTTATAAAAGTTCAAAATGTGTTATCAGGGCTGGGTCTCTCTCCCCACATCTTGGATCTATTTGGTCTTCTTGAGTAGTCTATCTATGTAGGAAAATGGCACACTCATAACCTCCCATCTTCTCCTTCTGGCAATAATCCCAGAGGAACAAATCCCAGAGGAACGAATAAGTGTTTTCTGATAGCTCTGCCAAGAAAGTCTCAGAAAAGATTCTGATTGGCTGAACTTGAGTTACATATTCATCTCTCAACCAATCACTGTGGCTAGGGGCATGGCATCACCTGATTGGCCAGTCCGGGGTCATGTGCTCAACTTTGTAACAGAAAGTAGGCAGAGGGGAATGGGGCTGAATGAGTCTGACCTGAACCACAGTCAGTGGTTTTTCCTTCAGACAAAAAAAAAAAAAAAAAAAAATGATGTTGCCAGAAGAAATGGGAAAAGAAAGTGGTGGATGCAGGGAGGGAGTGGGGAAGAGCCAGTCAAAAAACAAACTCCTTACAAGGTCTCAGTGGGTAATCATGTTCTGAACAGTGTAGTTAGGGGCTTCTCAAATATATATCACAGTTTCCCTGCCTCTCTCGCAGCTAGGAGATAGGCACAAGACCCAAGCCCAAAGTTTTCAAACATAAGCACCAAGCAATACTTTAGCACACAGGGAATGACATGAGCTGGAGGGTGTGAGCAGAATTCATCTTTAGGAGTTTATGGGGGCGGTACCAGCCTTGACCTACACAAGGGGGAGCACTTCCCTGGACCTGTGCTTCAGAAACCCCTCTGTGGCCCTCAGCTGGTGTGGGCTGAAAGCTTCCCCATAGAGTAAGAAGCCTGTGGGGGCTGTGTTGGTTTTCTACTGCTGCTTAATGTATTACCGCAAGCTCAGTGGTAAAAACCACTGTCCACCTGGTAGCTCATAGTTCTGTAGGTTAGTGGTTTGGGCATGGTGTGACCGAGTCCTCTGCTCAGAGACACACAAGGTTTAAATTAAATGTGAGCTGGGCTGAGTTCTCACTCTGGGACTCTGGAGGAAAAGGTCTGTTTAGTTTTTTTCCATAAAATAAAAGACATATTTTTCATTTTTGCCAATAACTTCATAGATTCAGATATTTCGAGTATGTCAGCTATCTCCCACGTGGTATAGCTTTGTTCTCAATCAGTCTCCATTTGATCACTATCAACTTCAACTGTTTACCTGACTGTGGAGCATCATCCAGCGAGAAACCTCCAGCACGAAACTTCACAAACCACTTTTGACACATTCGATCACTCACAGCACCTCCTCCATGCACTGCACACATCTTTTTTTTGCATTTCAGTTGCATTTTTATCTTTCCTGAAGTAATAAAGCATAATATGCTGAAAATGTTGCATATTTTCTTCCATCTTCAGTATTAAAATGGCTACACAAAAATTCACCAGTTTTGATAAGCTTTTTTTAAACACATGCTAATGTGATAGCTGTCACAATACAATCTAAGAAAATTGTTTCAAATGAAGTTAAAGACAACTAAGCGCTGCTAGAGCCATTGTAAGGAAAAAACAAAGTTTTTGGCCAATCCGAGGCTCCCAAGATCATCCTCGTTGATATAACATTCCACTCCTTGTGATCATAGGGCTGAGAGCTCTGTTTGCTTGCTGGCTGTCAGCCAGGGGCATCTCTCAGATTCTAGAGGCCACTCACGTTCTCTGTCACGTGGCCTTCTCCACCCCCAAGCCAGCAATGACACAATGAATTGTTCTCATGTTTCACTCAAATCTCCGACTTCTCTTCTGGGATCTTCTGCTTGTGAAGGGTTCGTGAGATTGGGTCAGGCCTACCCAGATGGTCTTCCTGTCTCCAGCTCAGCTGTACAACACAACCTGAACATGGAAGGACATCCTTCATTCTCAGAGTCTGGGGGACTAGGCAGGGTCTATCTGCCAGGATACAGGAAATACTGAGGTCATCTGAGAGCTCTGCCTGCCCCAGGGCCAGAATGTGCCCATTCGGAACTGCACTCCCTGCCGCTCTGCGTATGCGGGACTGCAGAATTCTCTTCCCAAAGGGCCCTGAACCTCTTCTAAGATTTATTCTTTTGAGAGAAGACCACAGCACCCATAGCAGCCATGGGCATGAGCAGTTGTATATAGGTGGTGGGTATGGAAGGAGCTTGGGCAAGGAGGAGATAAGAATACAAACGGAGGGAGGGAGACCTTGTAGGAGGCTGCTGGGCGATCCAGATGAGAGCTGACGGGGACCTGGACTAAGGAGGTGACGGTGGTAGAGAAGCGGGCAGATGTGAATAACATTAGGAAGATAGAACAGCAGAACGTATGAGGGGGAGTGAGGGGAAGGATAAGTTAGGAAGTATCCCTGTTTCTGGCTTGAGCAACTGATGGGTGGTGGAAGAAATTCACTGGGATGGGAATGTGGGAGAAAAAGAAGCCCATTTGGGGTGGAAGATAAGTTCAGAGCCCAAAGCCCTGCGTTTGACGTGTCTGTGGGACACACAAGTGTGAGTATACAGATTTATACGTCACCAGCACACACATGGTAACCAGTAGCTGCAACCCACCAGCAAGAGAAGGCGCAGACGAGAAGGCAAGAAGGCTTAGAACAGACCCCTGAGGAATGCCGACCTTTAAGTGATGGGAGCACAGAAGTCCTGGCAGGATTCTCAGAAAGGTGGCCCACAGAGACCCAAAGTCAGGGGGATGTGGGTTCCGGGAATTTAGGGGAAGAAGGGGAAGGAGCTCGTGCTTGATATTGGAGTCAATATCAAGCTCTTGAGAGTCAATATTTGCTCTTGAGAGTTCCGGGAAGGTCAGGGCTGCGGTGTGTCTATCGGATTCAGTGAAGATGAAGTTGCTGTTCAAGGTCGTTGTTTACTTGACAAGGGAGGCTTTAGAGGAGGGGTGTGGGCGGGAGCCAGACTGCAGTGAGAGGAGGGGGGGTGGGGGGGAGCGGAGATGTGAAAGAGATGTGGTCAATCATTTTCTCAAGGGGTTTGGCTACCAGAGAGAGGAAAGGTATCAAGTGGCAACGGGAGAAGAAGTGGGGTTGGGAGAGGGTTCATGTTTAAGGTGGGAGAAGATGCTGAGGTGCAGATGGAGAGGAGATGGGAGAGACGGAGGTATGAGACACAGGAAAGTTACCATCCTCTTCGGCATCAGTGGCACAGCTAGCATCCCTAAGGAAAGTTCGCTGTGTCCTGGGAATGCTCTGTTGAGATATTTCTTCTCCACATGTTGAGCCAAAAGCTATCTCCCTGCGATTCTCCCCTTTGGTTAGAGTTCTGCCCCGTGGCCCTCCTCCCACCTGACACTCCTCAAATGGCTGCACCCTGTACGGTATTTCTCCTCTTCTTCAACACGGTAGCCTCGATCCCTGTGGCCCTGTGTCCCCAGCACGGTGTCCAGACCTTTACTACCTCAGCCAAGCCCACGAGACCACACTCTTGTTTGTCAAGGCCTTCTTAAAAGGGGGAACATGCGCTTTTTGCTTTGCTGGTGGAAACAGGACATCATTTAAACTTTTGTGGTTTGAGATATCAAAGATTCTTGTCTAAGTATGTGCCTGGTGACATGACAGAGGGGGGTGGGGAGGCAGTGAAGCACAGGGCTCCCCAGAACACATGGAGCCTGGATGGTGAGACCGAACGCTCACGCCCCAAGTCGGGAACATGGGTGCGTTACTTCCTACGGCCGAAGGAAGTAACTCTGCAGGTGTGATTAAGTCCCATGTCGAGATGGGGGGGTTGCCTCTGATTACATCACAAGAGTCCTCAAAAGAGAGACACGGGAGGGTCAAGGTTAGAGAAGGGAGATGTGACCCCAGGAACAGAGGCTGGTGTGACATGGCTCTGCACCCCGGAGTGCCCGGCAACCCCCAGGGGCTGGAGAAGGTGAGGAACAGATTCTCTCATGAAGGAAGCTTCCAGAAAGAACCAGCCCAGCTGTCACCTTATCTCACATATGATCCCTAGAAATTTGAAAGAACACATCTGTGTTGTTTGAAGCCACGGGGTACATGATAATTTGTTACAGCAGCAACGATAACTATGGTGATCAGTACTGAACTTGCTTTGGGGGTGCAGGCTCTCCCCCACTTCCTCCTCAGCACATCTTTTGCTGCCCTTGGCCCTCTGCTGACCTCCCCACACAGCACAGTGGACCAGGGACGGACATAATCCTATTCTTCCCTTGGGATTTTACATGCAAGAAGCAGCAGTTGCAGGCCCAGAATCTCCATGAGGCGCAGTGTGTGTGCTGCCCTGGTTTGGGCGGCAGGGGAAGAGTTCACTTTCAGGTCACGTCCTTTCACTTTAACTCACCTTTGCTCAGAGAGCCCCTGCCAGATAAGAGTTAACCATTGCTCAGTGAGCCCCAGACAGATAAGAGAGAGCCCGGCGTGGCCGAGGGACACTTCTTTCTGCAGCGCTCTGAGGCATGGTGCAGTGCCTCTCACCATGCCAGCACGGTGCCAATTCCCCGACATGTGCCACTCTCTGGAAATCAGGAAAGTCATTCAAATTCAGAACCTGTGGTTCGGGACTCTGAAGCAGCTCCTTTTAATGGGTACCCTCTGCTACATCTGGTGAGTCGGGTACGCTGGGCCGGCCTAAGGGCACCATCTCACTCTCCGTCCCCCTCTTCTACCCTTACCCCCTACCCTTGACTGCCTGGGAGCAGCCAGGCTTCTCTCCTGTGAGCCCTCTCTGCTGCCCAGACCCGTCAGCTGCCTCTCCCCCATCATCTCTAACCACCCACCCGACAAGACCTGGCTGAATCCCCAGCCCCTTCGTGCCGCCGTTCGCTCCAGGACTTGTGGTTTGCAGGCTTCAGAGTGCACAGAATTGGAGCTTTTTAGAGCCGAAGGTCACAGGGAGTAGGAAGCCAGACAGTTATCTCCTCATTCAGGGACTGAATGCATGGCCTCTGAGAGGTGACATGACTTGTCTAAGTCACCAAGTGAGTCGGGACAGGGCTGCTGGATGTCATTAGAAAATTCTTACCATTGGGCAGGGTACTACAGACTCTCTTTTTTCCCCTCCGATGCGGCTCTGAAGCACTTTAAATTCTTAAAACGATATGTTTGTTATTATATGAAGACAAGTCTTCCGGTTTACGAGAGGGCTGGGCTGCACTAAGGCTGATCTGTAACACGCTGTATACACCCTGTAATGAATATCAGAGGTCACCTCCGAGCTTCCCAAATGGCGGGGCCAGGCCGACCAGTGTCCCCTTGGACACCACTGCAAAATCCACCGGGGAAAACCACTGCGTGGCCCGTGTGCCTGTTGCGATACCAGGCTGAACTAGACTGCTGAGCAGCGCTACTTACTCGTCTATGGAATGACATTTGGTGGCTCTGCCTCATGTATGACTGGGTCTCAAACCTGGATCTCTACCCATGTGGTCTTTCTTGATGAGCTTTCTTTTTTCGTGAGTGTTCAGAAATGCTAAACCTAAGATATAAAACATTACCATCCAATTGAAGAAATAAAACATCACTGGTCCAGTGTTAGCTCCCTGCAAACCCAGCCTTTATCCTGTTCTCTTTCCTCTCCCCTTATTAACATCATCCTGAACTGGGCACTTGTCATTCTGTTTGTTTTTATATTTCTACAACCTATGTCCATAGCTATAAAAATGTTTTTGCTTTTTGTAACTGAGGTGAAATTCATATCACATAAAACCCACCATTTTAAAGGGTACAATTCAGCCTCGTTTAGTACATCCGCAGTCTTGCACAGTTACCGGTGGTCTACTTCCAAAACACTGAGGCCACCTGTCCTAAAAGAAACCCTGTCCCTGTGAGGCAGCTCGTTCCCATTTCTCCCTGCCCTCAGCCCCTGGCAACCATCCATCGACTCCCGGTCTCCATGGATTCACCTATTCTAAATCTTTCATACCAATGGGGTCTTATTCTATTCGACCTTTTGTGTGTGGCTTCTCTCACTTTCACTCAGCACAATGTAGTCAATGCTCATCCATAGTACCGCATGTTTCGGTGCTTCATTCCTTTTTTTTACGGCTGAATAATATGGGGGTGACCACATTTTGTCTTTTCCATTCTCCTGCTGATAAACCTGTGGGTTGCTCCCAGCTTTGGGCTATTGTGAATAGTGCCGCTATGAATATGCATGGACAGCTATTTGTTTTGAGTACATGATGTAGTTTTGGATTTCTTTAAACCTTGTAATGTGCATGCTCCGGTTGCTCAGCATTATCTCCACATTGACTCAAGTAACTCTCCATCATTTTCGCTGCTGTAGAGCATCTCACTGTATGAATCCAACAATTCGTCTGTTAGTGTTCAAGGACATTCAGGTTATCTCCAGTTTTCCCTCTTACAAATAATGCTGCCGTATAAACATTCCTGTGCGTAACTCCTTAGGCACACGCACGAGGGTGTGCACCCACCTGCAAATGGGAATGGGACGGCTCGGTCACAGGGAAAGCACTTCTCCAGGTGGACTTCAACTGGCAAATACAAGTTGTCTTCTCATGAGTCTCCCAGGTGTTCTCAACCCTGACTGTGCAATAGAACCAGCTGGGGAAGTTGGAAAATATATTTAGGAACCTGGAGAGCTCTCCAGACATCCTAAATCAGTTTCCAGGAGTGGGTCTGGGGGCTGCGATTTTGAAAGCTCCCTGAGTGATTATACATCACAGACAAGGTTGAGAATAACTGGGACCACATCTTGGCCCACTCTGTCTTGGTTTCCCAGGTCAGTTCCTGGTGGACAACCATTGCCTTAGACTTCCTAATGTCATTCAGATATTAGGGGCTGGGCAGAAGGAAGAGATCAAATAAATACCTGCTGAATGAATAAAGAAAGCATTTAGGGTAAACTTTTTTTATTATATTCTATTGATTATGCTATTACAGCTGTCCTGATTTTTCCCTCCTTGCCCCCCTCCACCCAGCATCTCCCACGCCCTCAGGCAATCCCCCCCCCACTGTTCATGTCCATGGGTCATGCGTGTAAGTTCTTTGGTTACTCTGTCTTCTATACCGTACTTTACATCCCCGTGGCTATTCTGTAACTACCTATCTGTACTTAATCCCCTCACCTCTTCACCCGTTCTCCCCCACACCTGCCTCCCCCATCTGGCAACCTTCTGGTAATTAACTTCTTTTCTCTTCCTTTTAAGAGTCTCTCTTTATCTTTAACCTTTGGCATTTTAATTATGATGTGTCTTAGAGTGGGTCTCTTTGCATCCATCATAATTGGGACTCTCTGTACTTCCTGGACTTACATGTCTATTTCCTTCAGCAAATCATTATTTCTTGCAGTTTTTTCAGATTTTCTATTTCTTGCTTTCTCTTCTCCTTCTGACAATCCTATGAGGCAATGTTGGACCTCTTCAAGTTGTCTCAGAGGCTGAACTATCCTCATTTTTTTTTTGCTTCTTCTGCATGGTTGTTTTTTGCTTCCTTATGTTCCAAATCATTTAGATTCTTGGCTTCATCCATTCTACTGCTGTTTCCCTGTAAATTGTTCTTTATTCCAATTACTGTATCCTTCGTTTCTGACTGGGTCTTTTTTATGCTGCTGAAGTCCTCACTAAATTCTGTAAGCATACTTATATAAAGTGTTTTGAACTCTGCATCTGATAGATTGTTTACCTCCATTTCGTTTAGCTCTTTATTTGGAGTTTTGATCTGTCCCTTCCTTTGTGCCGTGTTTCTTTGTCTCCTTGTTTGGCAGCCTCCCTGTGTGTGTTCCTATGTATTAGGTAGAGCTGCTCTGATTCCGTGTCTTGGTAGTGTGGCCTAATGCAGTAGGTGTCCTGTAAGGTCCAGTGGCAACGCCTCCTCTATCACCCAAGCTGGGTATTCGAGGTGCGCCCTTTTGTGTGGGCTGAGTACACTTTCCTCTTGTAGCTGAGTCTTGATTACTGTTGGCAGATCAATGGGAGGGATTTTAGGGTAAACTCTTAATGATTGAGAGCAATGGGGTACAGGGAAAACATCAATGGGGATGAAATCTACCATTTTCAATCATCATTTCCACTTCCCCTCTCTAGTTCCCTTGCCATAATTTAGAGTCATGTTCTAAATAAGGTATTCACAGCTAATGAACTAACCCAAATGCAGGAGACCAGAGGCAGAACCACATCACACATGAACAAGAATAGCACGTGGTTAAAAGGCCCAGCTCTCCCAGTCCAGGGCCTCAGTCCTACCACCGACGATCTGTGTGACCCGGGCAGGTTCCTTCACCTCTCTGAGCCTTTTCCTCACTTACAGAGGGTGATGATGACAGGTGCCATCTCCTGTTGTTGTGAGGCTTAAAAGAGACGATGCATGCAGATCGCTTGGCACATAGCACATATTTGATAAACGGCGGTGCCTATTATCAACATTATTTATAAGCTGGGCGTGTCTTTGTGGAAGACAGGTGGCTGGCCTGCTGGACACACCCTTAAACAGGTGCTGATGTGTTACTGAGTCCCAGAATGAAGCTGGTGGACCAGCATAGGGGTGGACTCTGATATTTGAGCAGCCGTCCTGTAAATGAAGGTCTACATGAGGCAGTATTAGAGGCTGGCTTTGGGCAGTAGTCCCCATGCACTGAGCCCTCAATGCAGAAACCACATGGTGGAGTTCGCGTCCATATCTCAGTTCATACTTGCAGCAACCCTGTGAACTGGGTCTGATTCTTCCCATCTCACACACGAGGGACATGAGTCACAGAGGAGGCAAGTCACGTGCCCAAAGGCACTCAGCAAAGCTGGGGTTTGAATGGAGGTGGCCTTCATCCAAAACCACTGTGCCATCCTCGGGAAAGCCACTGATGCTTCTCTGTGTCTGCCACTTAGCTTTGCTCTGGTGACTGACAAGCTGTACCAGAAGAAGGAGTCTGTTATCAGCTCCGTGCACACCAAGGTGAAAGGGCTGGCAGAGGTGAAAGAGGAGACCATAGAGAATGGAGAGAAGAAGGCAGTGCCCACTGTCTTCGACACGGCGGATTACACCTTCCCCTTGCAGGTGAGCCCTGGCCAGCACCCTCCCAGGATTCATCCCTGCTCACAGTCACCAGGGCCTCACCCCCCTCCATAGACCTGGGGCCTCACTTCAGAAAAACACTGGCCCTGCTTGAAAAGCTCTGTGAAAAATCCCAACGGGGAAATCCTAAAAATTGCAAAATTGGGTCAGCTCCAACAGCTCGAAGGAAATGATTCTTTGCTTTATTAAGCCTTGCACAGTTTCTCGAAATAGCTGTGTGTCCTGGTGCGTTGAAAACCCAATTTGACTCATTCAGACCAATCTATAAGCTGCTTTTTAGAAGCAAGGCCACCGAGTCAGCAGGGTGGGCCTAGAGTCACCAGGGCCAGCTCTTCTACATTGTTAGTGTGGCATTTTATCGACAAAAATGTCTCCAGGAAAACACTCGTAGGCACGTTTCTGCACAAAGGAAGGATTATAGATGACAAAGAGAGAGAAGATGTGGGTCCCAGAGAAAGGATATGCGGCTGCCTAAATTCGCAAGAAGAGAAAACGGAATTAAAATTGTCAAAAGGAAACATCAAAATAGGCTCGAGAACACCAAAGGACAGACGGGGGCCGAGGGACCAAAGGGCGTATTTGCAGATGCTGGGAGCTGGGGCAGCAGCAGAAAACCCGAGCTGCGATGTTTGTTTCTAACAGTGGGCGGTTAAAACCTCCAGCTATTTCCCAGGTGGCGAGATGCCCTATTGCCCTTTAGTTAAAGTCCTGGATAATCTAAACAGCACTCTCCTGAAGCCAACACCCCCATTCCCACCTCCCCAGGTCTCCTGAGTTTCAATTTAATGCAATTTTGCTGCGAGGCTGGAATGGAAAATGAAGGCTCAGTCAGTGTGAATGTGCCCATGCTCACACTCGGAGCCCTACTTGGTCCCAAATTTGCTTCCAGACTGAGGCCTAGAAGAGTAGAAAGGTTCGCCCCCAGGCACTTAGCAAGCTGGATTATTATGATTAAGTAGCTCTGTTCTTAGAAGGCTTTCATCTGACTTCTCTCCTTTTCTCCACAGGGGAACTCCTTCTTTGTGATGACAAACTTTCTCAAGACAAAAGGCCAGCAGCGTGGGCTGTGTGCGGAGGTGAGGAGGGTGCCCAGAGCAGTTAGACCGGTGATGAGAGTTCTTGAAGGAAGCACGGGTCAGAGAAAGGGCACGCGAAGGCGGAAGCTGCGATCCCAGATTCAAGCTCACAAGCTCTTACAGAGCCTCTCTTGTGGCGTGTAGTCTGGGCTGGGTGGGAGAAGGGTCCAAAGACCTTGCAGTTAGTTCTCTTTCTCTGTAGCCCCTCGGTCTCCAGCTCCAGCACTAGGAGCCTGTGCGGGCCGGAATCCCACTTCCTCCATGGCCCACTCCTGCGTGGCTCAGACAACAGTGGTCTTTGAGGCATTTGTGCAGCATTTCACACTTCGGTGAAGCCTCACACACTTAGGAGGGTGACAGCATTCCCGGACCCACTTTACAGGTCAGAACACAGATCAGAGAGGTTGAGTGACTTCCCCTAGGTCGCCCAGCTTGCTGGAGGCGGAGCCGAGCTTAGAACCCAGGTGTCCTCTTCTACGGCTTTCCCTGCAGTGATCCACTGGGAACTGTCTGTGTGGAAACACTGCCAAACAGGCCAAGTTTGCCTTTGAGCCCATTTCCTGGAGCTACTTGTCTCCCCACCACCAGCACCCATGTAGTCTTCCCCAACTGGGCTTTGCCCTCTCCATACTCTTGACCTTCCCCTGCTTCTTTCTGGGGAACATTCTTCCCTATCAAAAGTGTTTGTCCTAGTCCTGGCTGGTGTAGCTCAGTGGATTGAGCGCAGGCCTGCGAACCAGAGTATTGCTGTTCGATTACCAGTCAGGGCACATGCCTGGGTTGCAGGCCAGTTCCCAGCAAGGGACACACGAGAGGCAACTATATATTGATATTTCTCTCCCTATCTCCTTCCCTTCCCCTCTAAAGATAAATAAATAAAATCTTGAAAAAAAAAAGTGTTTGTCCTATTCAGACCCTTCTCGGTCCTGTCCTCTGTTCTCTAAGATGGTAAGTAGCTATTCTGGTAAGTGAATCTATAGCCATGTGTTACTAGGCCTTCACCTGTTACTCCTGCCTTCCTGCCATTTCCCACTTAGGTAATGTACCTGTGCTATACAGAGGGGTGCAGCCCCGTGAAGCTATCAAGCAGGTTTCCTGCCTATGGAAACATCGATGTGTGAGAGAAACATCAACCGGTTGCCTCTCGCATGCCTCCATTTGGGGACCTGGTCTGTGACGCAGGCATGTGCCCTGACTGGGAATCGAACCAGTGACCTTTTGACTCACAGGCTGATGCTCAATCCACTAAGCTACACCAGCCAGGGCTTTGCCGTCATTTCTACCTAAACCTGGAACCAAGCTGACATTCCCTTGGATCGATATCAATAACGCTCATTTAATCTTCAGAGCAACCACTTAGGGCAAACCTGAGCAGCCCCCTTTTACAGATGAGGAAACTGAGGCTCAGAGAGGTGCAGTGACCTGACCTAATTGTGCAGCTACCAGCAAAACCAGGTGTACCTGGGTCCTTCTGTCAAATCTCTATAAAAAACACAAACTGCACAGAAGATAACTTGTTGCACAAAGGCCATGTCACATTCGATTTCCCTGAGACTGGCCATTGAACCTGCTCCCCAAGAAACCAGAAGTTAGACCCACATAAACCAAAGCATCGCATTTCTCCTTTCCTCCTATCCTCAGCCTTCAGTCCTGAGACCTGACCGGCCTCATTTTCTCGGGCCAGGAAAGAGGGCTGGCCGGCAGCCCCTGTTTCCACATTTCCTGCAGAAACTTCCTGCCGTTTGCTTCCCTCAGTTCTGCAGCCAGAGCTGCCCGGGCTGGGCCACCTGCTGTGCACCCTGAGCACGCTCCCCACAGCCGGTCCCGTACTGCCGCGATGTCCGCTTTTTAGATTTCTGTTTCTTTTTTACTGGGATATAGTTCATATACCATAAACCCCACCGTTTTAAGGGTGCAATTCAGTGGGTTTCCACATATTCACAATGCTGGGCGACCATCACCATGATTTTAGGACACTGTCATCCCCCCAGAAAGAATCTCAGACCCGCCAGCCATCACTCCCCATTCCCGCTTATTCAGCCCCTGGCCACAGCGATTGCTTTGTCTCTATGGAGTCGCCTGTTCTGGACATTTCATAGGAAATGGAACCCTACAACGTGTGGTCTCTTGTGGCTGACTTCTTTCACTTAACACAGTGCCTTCAAGGTTTGCTGGTGTTTAGCATGAGTCAGTACTTCATTTTTTTCTATGGCTGGATAACATTCCATTGTAACATGAGTGTCCTACATTTTATCTGTCCGTTCATTAGCTGATGACTGTTTGGGCTGTTTCTATTTGGGGCTATTATGAATAGCGCTGCCTCTTACATCTGCACACACGTTTTTGTGGGGACACAGACATCTGCTTTTCCGTATCTTAGGGATACGAGACACTTACTCCTCACTGTCTTGTCCTTCTCTCTGCAGTATCCCACCCACAGGACACTCTGTCACTCTGACAAGAATTGTAAACAGGGATGGATGGACCCACAGAGCAAAGGTATGTTCTGGTTTTTGTGGGGGGCCCTTGGGGGGGGAAGTGGACGGTCTGGCATCCTGGTGACATCTGCAGTGCCCTGAAGTTCAGATCTTTTACTCTGGCTTCCTTCTTCCACCCTCACCAGGCCATGGGCGAGCCTGCTTCTGCTCGTGCCTTGGCTCTGTCCCCAGAGGACCAGCCACTGACATGAGGGTGACCTGAATTCCCCAGTGAGGAGAGCTCCCGAAAACCTTGCAAAATTAGCACTTTCTGGGTTCTAACTGGTAAAAAAAGGAAATGGCTTATAGCAACATCTGAGTATTCTTCCTTTTATTTATGTATGTATGTATTTATTTGTTTGTTTCTAGAGAGGGGATAGGAGGGAGACAGGGAGAGAAATCAATGTGTGGTTGCTTCTTGCACACCCCTTACTGGGGACGTGGCCCACAACCAAGGCATGTGCCCTAGAGTAGGAATTGAACAAGACCCTTTGGTTCACAGGCCAGCACTCAATCCACTGAGCCACACCAGCCAGGACAACATCTGAGTATTCTAAATTTTTCTGTATTGAAATTCCCCAAAGGTTGTGGCGCTTGAACTTGTACCCTTGGGGCCACACTTGTGTTAACCTGCAGAATTTCCATATCTCCTGACTTAAAACTCAAGGGCACATGATAATAAAAAGCTAGCATATAAAAGAACAAAAAGAAAAGAAAAACCATCAGTGATCATGAAACACACACAAAAGGGCATGTGAATGTTCTATCTTATTCTACAATACATGTGTGCTTGAGTTGGTACTAAGCTCATTTTGACATTGCTTGCTATTTAACATTTCCCTCGGATGTCTTTAACTGGCCCTGATGCTCCAGGAAGAGGGGCCGAGTTTGTCCTGTGACTCTGCACATCCTGGTACACGCCGTGCACTCCTGCAGGGTCTCAGATGTCCAGTGAGAAGCCAGGTCCCAGTCTGTTTATCCCAGGCCAGAGAATACGCCCTTTCCAGCTCCCCCCTTGCAAAGATGCCCCAAGAGCCAACAGCATTCGTGGTCTTCCTGTGTTCTCTCTGATGCTTTTTCGAAAAGCTTACTGTTTGATGTGTTGCTTGCTTGTTCAGCCTAACGTAAGCTCGTGGTTTGGGTGGAGTTTCATGGAAACAGAAACTTCTTCAGTTGAAAAGCGCAGGTATTTTTTTGCTAGGGTTGAGAGGGTTTCTTCCCCATGATTTTCACACATGTGCTTCTGTGACCCCTTGACCCCACAGGAATCCAGACTGGAAAGTGTGTAGTGTATGAAGGGAACCAGAAGACCTGTGAAGTCTATGCCTGGTGTCCCACCGAGGCAACGGCAAAGGTCCCCCGGTGAGTTACAGAGTGGGGACCGACATGACATGGTGGCCCTCAGCAGCGAGTAAACGGGGCCCTGCCAGGTGCCGATTTGGCTTCTCTTCTCAGGGCAGTGCCACAGAGTCCTGGGTCCTACTGGCTCAGTGACCCCGTGCCAGGCACACTAGTTAAAATATTGAAGCAATTCTGCCCTGACTGCTGAATAGCTACTACCCCCTGAGGGTAGAGGACCCCGGGTGCGTCTGTTGCTTTTCTGTACCAGCACATTCCGGGGCACCTCCAGACCCCTCTCCAGTGCCACAGCAGGGTCCATCCTGACTTGTCCATACTGACTGATTAAGGATGGATGGGTGGCAGTGAGGGAGGAAGGAAAAAAGGAGGGAAGTAGGAAGGGAGGAAAAGAAATGGATGGGCAGAAAGGAAGTTTCCTTTGGTGATGACAGTGGCAGATTTGGTGGTCCCTGGAGTGACTCTTCTCTTTCACGAGGTCAGGGCCAGAGGCAGAACTCGAGGTAAAACTCAGAAACCACAGGGACTAATACCTTTCAACAGAGAACAGAGAAACCTGGGTTCAAATCCTGACCCTAACACTTCTTTGCTGTGTGACCTGCACATCGCAGGCATGTGCCATAAATAAAATTTTCTTTTATGTAAGCAACAAATACACAACCTAAACTGGCTTCAGAAAAAAAGGAGTGTTACTTTTTGGCTTGTGTTTTTGACTCCTGCAAATGAGAAGTCCAGGAGTATAACTTCAGGTAAGGCTTGATCCAGGCTTCAAATAATGCCATTAAAATTCCCTTTCTCTTCCTCCTACCAAGTTATTCTTTCCTCCATTTTGGCTCTCTTCACACTGTGGTCTGGAGAACTCCAATTTAAACCGCCCTTACTATTAATAGTCCAAAAAAATTAATTGTTCTTTCCCAATAGTTCCTACAAAAGCTCTGGAATGTTCTCATCAGCCTAGGTCATGTGACAATCTGTGAACCGAGCACTGTGGCCATGGAAATTGGATGACACTGTTTGGCCAGCTCTGGGTCACTTGCCCACCCCGGAAGCTGTAGGGACGAGTAGGAGATGGACTCATCCCCACCCAACCCCCTGGGATGAGAGTGGAAGAGACTTGACTTCCCCGAAGGGAGAAAACTGAGGGGCTACTGAGAGAGGAGAAATGGACACTGAACAGGCAAAAAGTACACTGTTCTCTGTAGTTACATCCCCACTAGCGCCGATACTGTGCTCTGGGGATCCTGGAATAAAAAACAATCATTCTTGGTGCCCCCTTCCAAATTCCCTCTACCCTTTCCTGGTGCTACCCCGACAGACATCTTCCACCTGTTCCAGCATGCCAGGCAACAAGGTACCAGCTGTCCCTTTTTATCCACAGCCAGTTCTCTCCATCTTTAACAGGCTCTCAACTGCATAAGGACAAAAAGCTTAACAGTCTCCTTCATCACTAGATCCCCAACGCCCAGTTCCATGCCCAGTACAGTAATTATTTGTTGAATGAAATAAATAATTTGTTTATCATTTATTTCATAAATAAATAATACACTTATTTTATTATTTATTTATGACCTTCCTGGTTAGACCTTCCTGCAGCCTAGAATCTGGGATCCTCTAACTCATGCAGAATTTTATGCTACCCGGAGCCTCTGGAGAATGACTGGTATAGTCAATCAACTACCTGTGAAGTCCTGTGCTGAAGGCTGTGGCGGGGGGGGGGCATAAGAAAAGTCTTGTACCAGCCCTGCAGGAACACCAAACCTACTGGGAAAGATAAAGTGGGTTGTGATGGAGCTGGCATGTGCCACCTGTGGGCCAATTATGCTCATCCCTTCCCAGCTCCAAGTTCAACAATGTCTAATTGGTAGCCTGAAATCAGACATGGTGGGAGTATTTATACCACAAGCATCCGTAAACGCTACATATCAGGGCTTTGGTTTTTCCTGGAGCGCCAGTTGGTAAACTAAACACGGGATTATAGCAGAGTGGGAGAAGGGCTGTGGGGTCTCAGAAAGGGAGAGTTCTTACTGGAAAAGCTGGAGAGTGTTAGGAGGCCTGGCACACTAGGTTGCTTTTCTCTCCACTCACTGCAATGACCCCAGCATCAGACTGGAAGCCTCTGGCCACACTGGCCCACTGACTCCGTGGTGCCTGCAGTCACGGACCCCCATGTGGCATGTCTCTCCCTCAGGCCTGCGCTCCTGAACAGTGCCGAGAACTTCACGGTGTTCATCAAGAATAACATTGACTTCCCTGGCCATAATTACACCATGTAAGTGCCTGAATGTCTGGCTGTATTGTTAACTACCGCAATGTAACAAGTTACTCCAAAAGTTAGAAGCTTAAAACAACAAACATTTATTATCTCACACAGTTTCTGCGGGCCAGGAATCCGGGAGTGACCCGGCTGGGCAGCGCTAGCTCGGGGTCTCTCGGTGGTACCCAGGCTGGCGACAGGGCTGGAGTCACCTCTGGGCTTGACCGGGGCTGGAGCACCCTCTTCCAAGTAAACACATGTGGTTGCTGGCAGGAGGGTCCAGCTCCTCACCACGCTGACCTCTCCCTAGGCCTGCCTGAGTGTCCTTAGGACACGTCGGCTCCCCCAGAGCAAATGATCCAAGAGAGACACAGAGCAAGCAAGCACCACAGTGACCAAGGTGAAGTCACAGCCTTTCATAACTGAAACTGGGAAGTGACACGCCATCACGTCTGCCACATGCTACTGGTCACACAGATCAACCCCACTACAGTGGGGGAGGGGATCACACAAGGGTGCGAATACCAGGAGGTGGGGACTGCTGGGGGCCCCCAGGGAGCCCAGTCACCCCCCCCCCAGCTCATTCGTATTCGAGAGATGGATCTCAGTCTTCAATGGGGATGTCTGGTTGCTTCTCTTTATGTGCAGGAGAAACATCCTACCAGACTTCAACAAGACCTGCACCTTTCACAAGACGAAGGATCCACTGTGCCCCATTTTCCGACTGGGAGATATCTTCCAAGAAACGGGAGATAACTTCTCAGAAGTGGCAATTCAGGTTGGTGGTGCCTCTGTGCCAGGAGGTGGTGGGGGCAGGGGGTTTGTGTAGGGGGATGGAAGATGTCAAATGGCCAAGCGGCTGAGCCACTGGGCCTTTATTGAGCGTTTAGTAAATCCGCACACGATGCTGAGGCCTTTCATGGCGTCACCTCATCTGGTCCCACAACAACCCTGTGACTGAGACACCTGGTATGTCAGTTTCCTGGGGCTGCTGTAACGAATTATCACGAGCCTGACTGCTTAAGAAAACACGCTTTCTCTTTCACTTCTGGAGATCGGAAGTCCAGAATCAGCTTTACTGGGCCGAAATCAGGTTAACAGCACGGCCGTGCTCCCGCCAAAGACTCTAGAGGGGAATTCGCTCCCTTACCTTTCCCACCTTCTAGAGCTACATTCCTTGTGTTTCTGGGCTCTTTGGATGACAAGTGACAAAAACATTGGGTAGTCACTACAGTACGGAGAGTGCTCGGCACAGTGGCTGACAATGAACGACAATACTGATTGTTCGGTATTACTTCTTTCCCTGAGCCAGAGCCTGCCAATGACACACCTTTGTATCCCTAGCGTCTAGCATACTATCTCGAAATGCCATCTTTCACGGTTCAAAGACATTTTTTCACATCTTAAGAGTTCTGAAATCAAGCCCTGGCTGGTGTAGCTCAGTGGATTGAGCACAGGCTGTGAAACAAAGGGTCACTGGTTCGATTCCCAGTCAGGGCACATACCTGGGTTGCAGGCCAGGTCCCCAGTGTGAGAGGCAACCACACCTTGATATTTCTCTGTTTCTCCCTCCCTGCCTCTCTCTCTAAAAATAAATAGAATCTTTAGAAAAAACAGTTCTGAAATCAGGAAATGTTTTCAACTGATAGAATCTCACAGTTTGACAGCATTTTCTCCTTAGAGGAACATAGAAAAATTATGTCTTACAAGCAATGGTGTCTAAGAGTCAATGAAATAAAACTCAGTGAAATATGATGATTAGTGCTCGAAATCTATTTGTAGAAAGAAGTACAGGTACAGAAGTAAGAGATTAAGAGATTCCTTAGAAGCTCCAAGGAGAAGAAGGTCACCTTGAACTGAGGAGGGTGGGACAGCTGAGGAAGGATGTGAGCCAGGTCCCTGAGGACGAGGGGGATTTTAAGTGGGCGGGAGAAACATTTCGCTGGGTCAAAGGGTAAGGAAGGGCCCAGATTTACAAGTTCAAAGTACACCCAGCAATTCCACTCCCTGAGTATATACCCAAGAGCAATGGCAACACGTGTCCACACGAAAGTTTGTACATAAATGCTCGTAACCGCCTTGGTCACAATCACCCAAAGGAGAAACAATCCAAATGTCTGTAACTGATGAACAGATACACCAAATGCATTGACATATATCTCACAATGGAATGTTCTTCTGCCATAAAAAAAGACACACGCTATAACGTGGATGACCTTATGCTGAGTGAAGAAAGCCACATAGTATTTGGTATCGTTCCTATGCAAGTTCAGAATAAAGAACTCTATATAAAGACAGACACTGGTCGCTTAGGGCTGGGAGAGGGAATACAGGGATGACGAATAATTTATGGGGCTTCTTTCGGAGGTCATGAAAACGTAAAATCGTGGCGACAGTTGCACACCTATGTGGGTATAGGAAAACCTGTTCAATTGTACATGTTAAGTAACGCCATCTGAAAGACAGAAACGCAAGTGTGAGGCGTGTTTGGGGACAAGTACAGACGGTCTGGAGGAAGAGCCTTCTCTGGAGGAGCCCTGGGAGACAGAGCAGGGGACACGTGATGGAGCACCCTGGGTTTCGGTCTAAGAAGCCACCACTTAATCTTCCCTAGGTTGGCTGTGATGGGGGCGGTCTACTGACAATCAGACCTTAGGAAAGTAAATCTAATGGTGGCGTGTCCCAGACGGGAGGAGGGGCGGGAGCTGTGCTCACAGTGGCCTCAGTAATAACTGTGAGTAAGCCAGGGCTTGCTCACGGCTCTGAAACCTTTAAGCAGCCATTTTTCCTCAAAAAAGAAAACCTTTCCTTGAGTACCCATTGCCCTGCAGGGAGATGTCTGGCGGCTGCGTCCCCCCCTCCCCCTCCCGCCAGCAGGGCTCAGACACCGCCTCTTGTCTTCCTCAGGGAGGAATCATGGGCATCGAGATCTACTGGGACTGCAACCTGGACAGCTGGTCCTATCACTGCCGCCCACAGTACAGGTTCCGTCGCCTTGACGACAAGATAACCAATGAGTCCCTGTACCCTGGCTACAACTTCAGGTAACAGTGCCCAAGGTCAGGCTGGCCCCCTTGGCTCCCCAGGGACTTGCCAGGCCCAGCTGAGTTGTGTCATCCCCAGCAGTGAGTAAGCCCAGATTTGGTTCCCAAGGCAACGGCATCGGGATGAATGGAGAGGACTTCCTCTAAGATGGAGGCGGGGAAAGAATTTTTTTCTTTTTAATTACTGAAGAGATGCACATGCTTTGAAAAACAAAAGCAATACTGGGGAAAACAGAGAAGAGGATAAAAACCACTATAATTCCTCCACCTTGAGATAACTGATGACCCTCTGGTGGATGTTCCTGTGTGTGACCCATTTTTCACCAGGCTTATATGAGATCACGGCACACTTACACTTCAGTATTGTGGCAGTCCGAACCCTTGCCAGCCAGGGTGGCCCTGGAACCGGCAGCCAGGGCCTCACCTGGAGCTTGTTATAATGCAGAATCTCAGGCCCCACGCTTGATTCACTGAATCGACTCTGCATTTTAACAAGATTCCCAGATTTATGGGCATACTGACGTTTAAGAGGCACGGGTCTAGACTATTATCACCTAGCACCCCAAAATACTTTCTTACTAGATGTTAAAGTAACATCATAAACTGGCAGGCAGCCTTCAGCTATGTATGTATGTATGTAACTACAAGATTTATTTACTGATTGGCCTAGGTAATGTCTTGAAAGTTACATAAAAATCAAGCCTTCCTACTTTCCTTGGAAAATTAGACTATTTGGAAAAAGAAATGAATCTGATGACTCTGGGTTCACCGCCCACACAGCAGCACTCGCTGGAGCTATTATGAGTGGTTCCCTTCAGAAAGGGCATGATCTGGGCTTTGCCACTGTCCTCTCCACTCCTTACTGCTTTATACCCAGCCCACATGACTCGTTTCTGTTACCTGCTGGGCCCCTGTAGGCACTGGAGTCAGAATTCCCTGCCTAGGAGCTGGCCAAGACACACGAGCGGCTGTTCGCCTCCTCTGGGACAGTGCGGTTTCTCCCAGGGCCCTGAAACCAGCTCCAAGTCTCAGTAACATTTTGATCACCCCCCTACCAACTGCTCTACCCACTAGGCAGGCTCATGGCCACTAGCAAGAAGACAGGATGGGGCCAGTGATCCCTGACTGCCCTCACAGGCTGTTTTCTTAGCAAGCAGCAGAAGCATGCAGGGCACTGTTCTGACTAGATGTTAGCAAATGTCCTTCAAGTCGCCCGTCGAGCTGAGCCTAAGAATATCAGCTCCTGGAGAGATCTGAGTTTTCTGAAGAACTGAGATTCTTGTGATGTTAACATTCTCTTAGAACAAAGTGTTAGAGTATTTGTTGTCTCCAGGAGAAGTCTCTAGCTAAAAATAAATAGTCCAAACAGCCACACAAAAGGGAAGGCAATTAAAGGTTATATGAAGTATAAGAAAAAAATATAACTTTGTGAAACAGGAATTTGAAGAAGCTGATCATATTACAGAATTTCTGTCTTTTATCAAAAGATGTCCATGGCAAAAGTCCTTATTAGGTGAATGTGGGACTCGGTTTATTTACAGGGTGTGTAGCTAGGGCAGATCCGCACAGGACACCTGACGCTCTCCTCTGGTTCTGAATGGGTATGTGTGTGTATGAGTTCCCTGTGCCTGCTGTAACAAATTACCACAAACATGGCCGATTAAACAACGGAAACTTATTCTCTCAGAGTTCTGGGGGCCACAAGTCCAAAATTAAGAGGTCAGCAGGCACATATTCCCTCTGGAGTCTCTCGGAAAGGGTCCTTCCAGGCCTCTTCCAACTTCTGATGGCTCTAGGCATCCCTTGCCTTGTGGCTGCACCACTCCAATATCTGTCTCTATTTTTTTCTCTTTTTAAATATATTTTATTGATTATGCTATTACAGTTGTCCCATTTTCCCCCTTCACTCCCCTCCACCCTGTACCCCCTCACACCCACATTCCCCCGCTTCAGTTCATGTCCATATGTCATAAGTTCTTTAGTTCTTTAGCTTCTACATTTCCTAACTATTCTTACCCTCCCCCTATTTTCTACCTTCTATGCTACTTATTCTCTGTACCTTCTCCCCCCCTCTCCTCCTCCCACTCCCCTGTTGATAACCCTCCATGTGATCTCCATTTCTGTGGTTCTGTTCCTGTTCTAGCTGTTTGCTTAGTTTGCTTTTATTTTTGTTTTAGGTGTGGTCGTTAATAATTGTGAGTTCGCTGTCATTTTACTGTACATGCTTTTTATCTTCTTATTCTTAGATAAGTCCCTTTAACATTTCATATACTAAGGGCTTGGAGATGATGAACTCCTTGAACTTGACCTTATCTGAGAAGCACTTTATCTGCCCTTCCATTCTAAATGAAAGCTTTGCTGGATAGAGCAGTCTTGGATGTAGGTCCTTTCCTTTCATGACTTGGAATACTTCTTTCCAGCTCCTTTTTGCCTGTAAGGTCTCTTTTGAGAAATCAGCTGACAGTCTGATGGGAACTCCTTTGTAAATAACTGTCTCCTTTTCTCTTGCTGCTTTTAAGATTCTCTCTTTATCTTTCATCTTGGGTAATGTAATTATGATGTGCCTTGGTGTATTCCTCCTTGGGTCCAACTTGTTTGGGACTCTGAGCTTCCTGGATTTCCTGGAAGTCTATTTTCTTTGCCAGATTGGGGAAGTTCTCCTTTAGTATTTGTTCAGATAACTTTTCCACTTGTTGCTCTTCCTCTTCCCCTTCTGGTACCCCTATAATTCAGTTGTTGGAATGTTTAAAGATGTCCTGGAGGTTCCTAAGCCTCTCCTCATTTTTTTGAATTCTTGTTTCTTCATTCTTTTCTGATTGGATGTTTCTTTCTTCCTTCTGGTCCACTCCATTGATTTGAGTCCCAGTTTTCTTCCCAGAACTATTGGTTCCCTGTATATTTTCCTTTATTTCACTTAGCATAGCCTTCAGTTTTTCATCTAATTTGCCACCAAATTCAACCAATTCTGTGAGCATCCTGATTACCAATGTTTTGAACTCTGCATCTGATAGGTTGGCTATCTAGTTGTATTTTTTTCTGGAGCTTTGATCTGTTCTTTCAGTTGGACCCTTTTTTTTGTCTCAGTGCACCTGTTAGGTATGAGGGGCGGAGCCTTTGGTTTTTACCAGGGCAGGGCTACCCACATCACTGGGTTGTGACACAGTATGTGGAGGTGGGGCCTGAGAGGAAACAATGGCACTTGCTTGGCTCTCTGCCAGATTTCAGGCACTTCCTCTGCTTCCCCCAAGCAAAGTGGCCCTTCTGGTGCTGATTCCCGAGTGGGTGGGCTTGTGTACCTTCTAGGCCCCTGTGGGTCTCTCCAACGAACTCTCCTGTGAGGCTGGGAGTTTCTCCCGGCACCTCAACCCCCACAAGTGTTTCAGTCGGTGTTTTGGGGCTTTATTTCCCTGCTCTGGGAACCTGGGTTAATGAGGTCTGTCCTGCTCCCCAGTTTTGCCTGCTTTATTTGCATACGAATGTGGGACCACCTGGTCTATCAGCCACCTTGTGCACCGCGCCCCTCCACAATCCACTACCTTGCTGGGTTTGCCTGCTGCCACATTGCACACCCACGGTCCACCAGCCATCGCTTTGCCGAGGCCCCTTTCCGCCCGGCTGTCCGACTCCACCCCTCCTACTGGTCTGGATGAATGTGTCTACTTTAACTCCTTGGTTGTCAGACTTCCATACAGTTAAATTTTCTGTTGGTACTGGTTGGTTTTTGTTTCTAAATTGTTGTTGTCCTTATTTTGGTTGTGCGAGGAGGCACCGTGTGTCTACCTACGCCTCCATCTTGGCCAGAAGTCTCTGCCTCCATCTTTACATGGTCTTCTCCTCTGTGTTTGTTTCAACCCTCCTTCTCCTTTCTCTTGTGAGGACCCCAGTCATTGAATTTAGGGCCACCTTAAATCCAGGATGATCTTATTTTAAGGTCCTCAATTACACCTGCAGACTCTATTTCCAAATAAGATCACACTCATAGGTACAGGGGTTAGGTACTTAGATGTATCGGTTTGGGGGGAGACTGTTTAACCCATTACGGTGTGTAGAAAACATCCTTGTTCAGGGCTGACTATTTCTCAGAGTGTGGCCCATGGACCACCTGCATCAGAACCACCTAGAACCTCTCCTGGAAACAGCAATTACTAGGAACACCCCAGACCTCTGACATCACCCACTGAGCCTACGGGCCAGGAACCTGCCTTTGAACACATGTCCCAAGTAATTCTTGCTCTCGGTTTGAAAGTCACTCTATCAAGATGTTGAAAGCAGAAATTCAAGTATTTATACTGCACACTGTTAACCTTCCCAGTCAAACGAACTTGCAGAGAGAGACAATGCAACACAGGGCATGGAGCAGCAATGCACACCTGCTCTGTGTGTTAAAACACAGGTCACTCAACAGAGCAGCAGAAGAACTGTCACAGAATAAGAACCATCAAGGGTAAAGATATTGAAACACTCTGGCCAGAAACGCCTTAAAGTGTCTGAAAATATCGAACTGATCTCAATGTCAGATTTTGAGAATTAAAAAGAAAAGTTTCAGATGTTCTATATTGGATTCTGGCAGAACATCTGTCTTCTGTTTTCTTTCCTCCCCATACCTGTAAACAGCTTGTGAATTAATAACTCAGAGAGGAAATAATACCTTTACCTAAAAAATAACAACACTGAAAGATGGTAAGAGGGAGGGACAGATTTAAAAGTTTCTTAAAGCCTATGTCTTAAGCCTCCCTAATTGTTCATGAAAAATGAAACACACCGCGTTTCCTGACAGCAGGTCCGGTGAGAGATGCTTGTGAGGCGTGACTCTAATCTGTGCCTGAACCGTAACATACCAGGCGACAGTAAACACGTGGAGAAGTGACCACCACGGGAAGAACTTTATTACATTCCCAAAAGGAAGGGGGCCACACAGGGCCGCAGGGGGAAGCACCAGGTTTGGTCAGGAGGCAGCAGCGAGGGGGGAAAGCATGACCCAGGGCCTTTACTGTGTTTGCCCAAGGAAAGGCCGGCAGGGCAGGGGAAAGGGCTTAGCATGGACTGGTTTACGTAGTATGGGCAGGGGTGGTCTCTGGTTGTCTGGCACTGGTCCCTGGCTGATTTAAGGCAGCAAAAAGAAAAAAAAAAAGCCAAATGTGTGAGAATTAGGTCAAAAAGGTGGCTGGAGATATGGGCTCAGGATTGGTTGAAGAGTTCATAACATGATTTTCATGCACTCGCAAAAGATGCATTGCAGGGAAGATGTAAAGAACTTTAGTTGTTAAATTGGCCCTGTGATAAAGGATGCCAAGTAGATGAACAGAGAATCTAGAAAACCACAGTCAGAACAGATGGCTGAGACAGCGTCTTTGGTTCAATGATTGAGATCTGAGATTCACTCCCACCACTCTGTTCTAGAAAACCTCTTTTTCCCTCTTAAGGAATGATCAGATTGCTTGAAGCTTTAAAAAAAACCTCTGTTTTCTTAATCTTGTGCTGTTGGTTAAAAGTTGTTCTTGTTAAACGAAAAGCAGGCTTCTCACTGCTCTGTGATGGAAGTGGAAGAGGTGACGCGGGGAAGTGGCCCTTCTGTTCCAGGTGGTCAGAGACACTAATTCACGGGTTTAGATTGTCTTTTTCCCGCTGCCAACCACGGCAGAGCTAGAAGATGGACAAAGGAAGCCTCGGTCAGCTAGTGTTTTGATTTTTCTTTTCACAAAATGCCAACACTTTCAGGCAGAACTTTATAAACACGGATCCTTTTCCTCCTACAGACACGCCAAGTACTATATGGAAAATGGTGTTGAAAAACGGACTCTGGTAAAAGTCTTTGGGATCCGTTTTGACATCCTGGTTTTCGGCACCGTAAGTCTCTGCTTCCGGCCATGGGCATCTGCATCCCTAACTACTGCTGTACTGCCTCAAGGGGGTGAATGTTTGGGTGCTAGTCGTGAGCTGGTCTACACACCTCACACGTGGGGTGAGAGGGGGAAGGAATGTCCCTGGAGTCCTGCCCATGAAACATCCATCTGATGAGTACAAGACTGAGGCAGGGAGAAGTATGTAATATTCAACTTAAAAGTTTTCTGATGCTTAAAAAAAAAAGGAGAAAGAAATCCCTCTGCAAAATAAAGTAGTAAGTAACAGGAGGCGACTCAAACTGGCTTTAGGGGGAAAGGCTTGTTTTTATTAGTTCATGTCACTGAAAGACCCAGAAGCCATTTCAGCTTCTGGCGTGGCTGGATCCAGACCCTCAAACATCATCATTAAGAATCTGCCTCCCTATATCTTTCCTCTGCTCTGGCATCATCCCCTGCTGTCCACCTGTGTGGTGGTATAAGGCAGCTCCTTGTATCCTACCAGGTTAGCAACCTCGCCTAATCACTGTGACCAGGGCTATGCTGTACTCCCAGTGGCTGGTCTTGGGCCAGCTCTGACCCAGCCCCTTCCCCGCACACAACATGGACCGAGGGTTAGTATACACAGACCCAGGGGAAGGCCCTGGGACTGAAAAATCTATCTTGTAAGTGGAGGTCAGGGAAAGAATGAAGAAAGAGGCAGGCCGCTCCAGTCTGGTGAGAGCGTTTACTCTGGGAAACTTACCTACAAGGAGCATCTTGGGCAGCTGCAAGGCAAAATGGGCCCTGTGCCACTTAACGGGTGCCCAAGGATTCCCACAGGGCAAAAAGGGGACACTCACGGGTACTAATATGGGAACGCTACCAGGTAGGGGCAATCGTTTTACGCATTTCATCTGGTCAGGACAATGGCCCGTTCCAGGAACCAGCAGGGCGCAGGAGGGGTGCTGCTTTATGTTAGAACGAACATCGATCGTGATCCGTCTCTACAGGGGTCTGTGCTTCGAAATCCCTGTCCCAGACAGGTACAGGTCACAGGTCAGACAGCAATCACACCACGGAATAGCCTGTCCCTGACACTGAGCATGGACAGAGAGGGTTCCCCAAAGGAAAAGAGGAGTGCTGTCTCCAGAAGAGGGAAGGAGGAGACGCTGGGCATGCAAAGAATCGACACGTTGCCCACACCCCCTTGTCCGACAGCGTGTTTATCGGAGCAACGTGGTGATAAGCAGCACAAGCACCAATGGGGTACAGCTGGGAGGGCAGAAAGACCACTGAAAACAAAAACCACAAGGACACCCAAGGGAAGAGTGTGTGCGGACATTCCTTCCCTCGGTTTCCAAAGTAATCTCACACCCCTTGGAGGGGAAGCTTGTCCGAACCCCTCACCTTGTCTGAAACAACCACCTCCTGTGGGTCTCCTCTCAGTGTGTGGGTCCCAGCATCGTTTTCTTTAAAACATTCCCGTTTTCCAGCACATCTTGGAAGGCAGAAGGAGTGTCCCAGCTTCAGTTCCCTCAGCCTCTGTGGCTCTGAACACTGTGGATGCATCTGTCAAAGTCACGGCACCAGACGTCCCCCCTCTGCGGGCACTAACAATGACGTGTTCGAGCAAAAGAGCATCGCTCTGAATGTCAGCTGGGTAACCTTTCCTGCTCTGTTTTCAGGGAGGAAAATTTCACATTATCTCGCTGATTGTGTACATCGGTTCGACCCTCTCGTACTTCGGTTTGGTAAGGCCTTTTCTTCCCCGTGTTTCCTGGTAGTGCTTTTGCCAAAAGGTTTTTCAGTAATGCGGCACTTGTCTGGCTTCTCCCCAGGCCACTGTGTTCATCGACTTTCTCATCAACACGTACTCGAGCGCATGCTGTCGATCCTGCGTCTATCGCCATTGCAAGTGCTGTGAGGGCTGCGTGATCAATGAGTATTACAACAGGAAGAAGTGCGAGGTCATCGTGGTGCCAAACCAGGTGAGACTCTCCGCCTGTGGCGCCCAAACACCGTTAGACCCCTGAGCAGCACACAGAAATAAGGCCCAAATCAGAGGCGTGATCCCAGGGTAGGCAAGTCTCTGGGCTCGTTGACCCCATCCCTCCATCTCTCAGAGGAAACCTTTGGTCTTAGGGAAGAATAGAAACGAAAATGGAGAGGCCAGAGAGAGGGAGGACAGATGTTTGTGTACCAGGACTTGTCAATTTTTGTCGGATTTATTAAGTGGGTACAGCAAAAAAATTAACATAGTGACTTCAGAGAAAACTTGGCAGAGTCTAATACCATTTAACTGAGACATACTGCGCAGCCCGGCATTCCCACACATTCACCCCCGCTCTGGAGAAACACTCGCGTGAGCACCCAAGTGTCACGCACGTATAAGGTGTCCACGCAGTGCAGCAGTCACTGAAGAACCAGCTTCTCCTCGAATGACCAATCAGTGAGCAGTGCATTAGGCTATGATAACTCCATAGCAAGGAACTCCGGGCACCAGTTTACAAGAATGAGGTACAGCCAAATAATAACGAATGTTTATATAAGCACTTCAAAGTGCTTTATAGATATTAACTCACTGAATCTTCACAACGCCATTGGTAGGTGACACAATTATGCCTTTCTATAGATGAGGAAATTGAGGCACGGGAGGGTGAAATAATTTGGCCAAAGTCGTACAGCTAGTTGGTTAGTGTCCAACTGAAATTCCAACTTAAGTTCAGAACCCACACTCATAACCACTGTGTTATAGGTGCTGGCGACTGCCCGAGACATTTTCTTGAGAGGAAACAAGGCAAACTTCAGAACCATACACGTGATATAACGCAGGTACAAGATGACACACATAAACTAACTGTACATGTTGCCTACATGCATTCCACACATGTACACATATACACATATACATGTATATTCTATATGTTTTATGTGTAGTTGTATATATTAAAATACACGCACACAGAGGCATTGGACACACACAAAAGTGACAGTGGTTCCCTCTGGACAGAAGCCTAGGGCGGGGTCGAGTCCGACAAACTGCAGCTCACCTGCACTGTTTTGATGGTCGAACTGGGACTTTGCCAAGCAGTTCCTTCGTACTCAACTCCATGATTCCCCCCAACCAAGGAGAGATCTCTGGTGCTCAAGCACAGCAAAGCGGGTGTCTCTGCCTTTTCCTCATCCAAGAAGGACTCAGTCCTTTCCCAGTGGCTGAATGCATGGGTCATTGTCCATCATGTGTATACATACAGCTTCAAATAAAAGTTTGTCTTTGCAGCTAAAACTAATCACCATCTCATGGCCCAACGTGGGATGAAATTTAATAAAAATATAAATAATTTAAGTTGCAATGGTATCACTTTCTGGAGATATTCAATCTAGAGTAACTTAAATTGAGGGAACACAGTGAAGAAATCTTACATAGCACTTGCGGGGACTACAAACATCAGGCGGTGAGCTGTGGATACTCTGAGTGCACAAATTAAGGCGCACGAGGTTCCACTTCTGATTTATCTAGAGACTCAGAAATCACTCACTCTTGGTCAATAAGGGTTCCCAGTTAACTGGTTTAACAGTTTGCCACTTGAGTCTATGACTCAATTAGAATAATTCTTGCCTTTAGGTTATGTGCAGGTATGTAATTCTTAATAATTCTATACAAAAAAAGATAAACATCTTGAACTCCTTCCCCTAGACGTTAAAATATGTGTCCTTTGTGGACGAAGCCCACATCAGAATGGTGGATGAACAGCTATGTGGGAGAAGTCTGCAAGATGTCAAAGGCAAAAAAGTCCCAGTAAGTTAAAACATTTCATCTTTAAAAAAAAAACAACTTACTAGTAAATATAAATACATCTAGAGATTTGTACAAATCACACTTGATGAAGTTTAACAAAGTAAGCCCAGGTGACCAGCTCCCGGATGAAAACAGTGAGTATTACCAGCAGAAGCCCCTTTGATGTCTCACCCAATCACTGCCCCCCCTTAAAAGTCCCCATTATCCTGTACCCAAAGGTTAGTTTTAGCTCTTCTAGAATTAATAAATGTTTTTAAATTTCCAATTACAGTTGACATTCAATATTATATTAGTTTCGTTCGGGTGGTTACCTCTTCTAGAATTTTATAAAATTGGAATCCTATGGTGTACCCTCAGCATATACTCTGCTGAATGTCTGGCTTCTTTTACTCAACATTATTTTCGTTGAGAGTCGTCCTTGACATTGCAGATAGCAAGAGCTTGTTCTCATTGTTGCATAATTTCTACTTCACAAACGTCCAGTGTAGTTTTCCCTTCTGGTGATGGGCAGGGGGACAGTTTCCATTTGGGGATCAGGCCAATGATGCTGCTACGGTGAACGTGTGGCACCTGAAAGTGAAGCTGCCGAGGCCCCGGGCAGGCGCACATTCGGCTTCAGTGGTCACCCACCACCAGACACTTCTTTTAGCGGGTGTTCTGGTTGTTGGGTATCTTCGCTAACACGTTAGTTTGCAGGCTGCCACAATAAATGACCAAACACCAAGTAGCTTAAAGCCACAGAAATGGACCTCTCACAGTTCTGCAGGCTACAAGAAGGAAACCAAGGGGTGCGCTGTGAACATGTACATGTAAGAACTATTCACTTTTAATGTGCTTGACGCAGACTTTTCCTGTCTGGTGAAGGAAGGTAGGTATATGTCACAAAGAATAGCCGTGTATAAATGATGGCAGTTATGGCCATGTTTCTTGGAGCATAACAGACAGATTCAGCAGGAGGAGGGGCCTGGTGGGAAAGGAGAGAATGGAGCTGAATCAACAAATATTTACTGTCTACTACGTGCCCTCGGCATTGGGGATACGCCAATAAACAAGACAGATAGGGCCCCTGCTTTCGGGCAGAAGAATCGTCACGCAAACATATGGATTAAAAAGACCATCTCAGGTGGCAGTCAGCACTATGAAGACCGCAGGCTCCCATGATGCAGTATAAGAATGACCTGGGGGAGGGGAAGCGCCTAGATCAGGTGGTCAGGGCAAGAAGGCCTCTCTGAAGAGGCGATACCGCACTGAGGCCTGGCTGTTCAGAATTTCCCTTTCTAAACCTGTACCACGGCCATAAGGACACACGGCCCGTGAGATTCTTCAAAGGCGTACATGAGACAATGCTCGTAAAAGACCATTACAGCCCTGATACATTTAACACGTGATAGCTACTCATATCAATGTAATATTAAATATAATTTTATAAGTTACATAATAAAACGAAAGCACCTAGAGCCCTGGGGGTCATCGCTGCTGATGGGTTTGGAAACTTGACTTTTTCAGAGGCCCTCGATGGATTTCAGAGAGCTGTCCAGGCTGCGCCTGTCTCTCCCAGACGCACGCCCCAATCCTGAACAACCAGAACAGATGCAGCTGCTTACGGAAGTGAAGACTCCAAGATCCAGCAGCCCGGCCTGGTGCAGATGCGGAAACTGCCTCCCTTCCCAGCTCCCCAAGGACCGCCAGTGCCTGGAGGAGCTGTGCTGCCGGAAGGAGCCGGGCACCTGCATCACGGCCTCAGAGCTGTTCAGGGAGCTGGTCCTGTCCAGACGTGCCCTGCAGTTCTTCCTGCTCTACCAGGAGCCCTTGCTCACGCTGGACACGGACGCTGCCGACAGCCTGCTGCGGCACGGCGCCTACAGGTGCTACGCCACCTGGCGCTTTGGCTCCCCGGACCTGGCGGACTTTGCCATCCTGCCCAGCTGTTGCCGCTGGAGGATCCGGAACAAGTTTCCCAAGAGCGAAGGCCAGTACAGTGGCTTCAAGAGTCCTTACTGATGGAACAGGGCTGCGCAGCGGCAACAACACTGCCTTCGCTTGTACCTTGAGCTTCAACTGCAAAGATCTGTGGCTAGATTTTCAGACAAAGGGAAATGTGCTTTGCTCCACTACAGTTCTCTGTCAGAGAGCAGAGAGACTTGGGAAGACAAACAGACAGGCCAGAATCCCTCAGCATGGACTACCAGTCAGGAGGTTCAGACGGATGCCTCAATTCTGTCCCTAGGAAGTTGTGTGATCCTCGGCCTTTAATCGCTGTCCCTCAGCTGCCTCATGATCCAACCTACTCTCTCTCACTGAGATATCGGGAGGAAAAATTCTTGTTCATGCATAAAGAGCTCCAGTACAAAGCAGCTCATTATGAGGTCGGACTAGGATCATGTCCAACTATGAACAAACCCGTTGGGTCCTGGGTCCTGTTGGACAGAGTGGAGGATTTAAAGTGGCAACAAACTCTATGGCACTTGACCCTGAGGGTTACGTCTCCTCCCCTTGTGTCTGGGTGGCTCTGGTCGCTTATCCCAGAGTGGAAGTGATGCTGTGTCAGCTTCAAGGTCTTGGTTTTAAGGGGCTGGCGACTTCCACTCCCTGCCCCTTGGCTCTCGTGCTGTGAAGGAAGCCGGCCTCCGGGCAAAAGTCTGACTACTCTGAGTCTGTGAGGAAGCCCGAGCAGCCATGTGGAGAGGACAGATCCCGACTAGTTCCAGCTTTCAAATCATACAAGCCCAGTCACTAGACCAGATGTTCCCAGAGCCTGCTAACACACGTCTGCAGCTGCCTGAGACACCCAAGGGAGAGCTGACCGTTGAACCCACAGAACAAAACTGTTTTCTTAAGACATTAAGTTTTGGCTTCTTTGTTACATAGCGACAAGAGAACTGGGACAAGAGAGCAAGCCTGACTCATGGGGACATACATTTGGCCTATACCTTCTGTGGTTGTACAGGTCTTAGGAAGCCTGGACCACCCCAGAGCCCCTCTGGGGCCGGGGTTCCTATGTAGCAGCTATAGGAGCTACGGACCAAAGCAGGTAACTCACCAGCACAGCCCTGGAATCCACCACCTCTAACCCAATACATTCCAACTGCATTACATTTCTACGACTAGAAGTAACTTAAAAACTGGAAAAGGCCAGTAGTGCTTTTAACATCTAGCACTGTTCAGCCAGTTAAAGGGGATGCGGTCTGAATGCTACTTAAAATGCAACCCACACCCAAACCCTTAAACCATTTCTGCAGGTCAGCCTCTAGGAACGTGAAAATGGATCGCTGCAGGTTCTAGGATCCTCCCGAGGGACTTCTGTGTCTGGGTTTTAGCACTAGAGTTGACTATTTCTCAACAACTACTTTCAAGAATAGAGACCACTATTCAACACTGTGACTGACAAAGGACCTGTGAGGGTTTTTTTTATACATACTCTTAAGATTTACCATTTTGATACTTACTGAAAACCAGCAGCTCTCTACTATATTAAAATAAGATGAACAAAAGTCTTCTCTTTGTGATCCAGGATTTTATCTGCCTTTCAACTCAGGAATCAAGTTAATTAGGCCAGAGCCCTGGCTGGCATAGCTCAGTGGATTGAGCGCGGGCCTGTGAACCAAACGGCTGCCGGTTCGAGTCCTAGTCAGGGCCCATGCCTGGGTTGCAGGCCGGGTTCCCAGTAGGGGGCCTGTGAGAGGCAACCACACACTGATGTTTCTCTCCCTCTCTTTCTCTCTCCCTTTCCCTCTCTAAAATTAAATAAATAAAAATCTTTTTTAAAAAAAAGGTTAGTTAGGCCAGACTGAACTTTCATGTTTACTACCTTCCCAAGATATTTTTTAAAAGTGGATTATATGTGACTTCAGGACTGAAATTCCTACTCCCTGAATTCTAACAACAGCGACAGACTTCCATTCTGATAACCTCTGAGTCTTCAGCCCTTTATTCTTTGGTGCCTCCTTCCTGGTGAGTTTCAGTGTCCTTGTGGAAGCCCCAGAGAGAGCCGGGATTTGAAATGACAGATAATCACTGGCTCCCCCTCCCCTCGGGTGCTCTGAGTGGGTGATGTGTGACGTCAACAGTGCGTACTTTGCCTGCCACTTCCCATGACGATATGTACCACACCCACACTCTTCTCGTCAGTCGGCCGCCTGAAATAACGTCATCGCCGAAGACATGCCCAGAACCACATTTTGCAGGCTCTGGCTTCTTGCGCTCAAGTCCGTTCTTCTGTTGCAGTAAAGTGCACAGCACTCACAACCTCGACACTGTGCCCGAGGTCTGCTTTCTTGTCATGCTGACTGATTTCATGTAGAATTGATTAGCAGTGCACTTGCATTTTTCTCCTTAGAGGGAACCGTTTTCTAAGCACTTCCTAATTTGGGTTTGGCTATGTAGATGTCTTCAACCTGAATGTTTTGATAATAAAAAATAAGGCATATACTTCAGGATTCCTGAAGTGTTCCTTTTCTTTCCTTTTCTCAGAATATGACCAAATCATAGCTCATTCACTGACACATTCATTCAACATATTTTCACTGAGCGCTATGACATAAGAAAATATACATTTGGTTTCTGTCTCCCAGTTTGACATGGAGCTCCTGAACCCCTGGGAATTTCCTGGGTGATAAGAGTGTCTGTGTTCTAACAGGGTGACTCTTGGTGGGCTCCTGGGTAACTCTGGGGTGGAGGCTGGCCACCAGAAAGACCAAATCACGGTTAGAATCTTGGAACTATTAGTCCCAACCCCTCATCCTCCAGAATGAGGAGGGGCTGGAAACAGAGTTAATAACTGATTGCGCCTACATGGTGAAAACTCTGCAAACATGTCTGAAACACGAAGTACACAGAGCTGCTGGGCTGATGAATACATCTGCATGCTGGGAGGTGGTGCACCCCAAGCCTACAGGTACGGAAGCTTCTAGACTCAGGACCCTTCTGTACCCTGTCCTGTATACATACCTCTTCATATGGTTGTTCACCTGTATCTTTTATTATATTCTTTATAATAAACCAGTACATGTAAGTAAGGGTTTCCCTGAGATCTAAGAGCCATTATACCAAATGACTGAACCTCGGGAGAGAGTTATGGGAACCCTCAGTTTATAGCTAAGTGGTCGAAAGTGCAGATGACAACCTGGAACTTGTGAGTAGCACATTTGGCCCAAAGAGAAGGTTGAGGCTGATGGTGTCTCAACCCTAGTAAAGAGGCTGGCAGCACCCTGTCACTGGTGTGGCTCAGTGGGTTGGGTGTCATCCCATAAACCGAGAGGTCGCCGGTTCGATTCCTAGTCAGGGCACATGCCTGGGTTGTGGGCCAGGTCCCCAGTAGGGGGCGTGCGAGAGGCAAACACACATTGATGTTTCTCTCCCTTTTTCTCCCTCCCTTCCCATCTCTCTAAAAATAAATAAATAAAGTCTTAAAATAAAAATAAAAGAGTCTAGCAGAAGAGAGACAGAAGAGATGAGCATTCTGGATAATTCTCAGGACAGGAAAGAAGCACCCTTTTCCCCAACTGATGCAAAGAAAGTAACTACCATTTGTCACCCCACTTCCCATTGGATCTTACTGACCGAGAAATGGAAAACAAACAAACAGAAAAAGGGAAGCAAGCAAAGAAAGGGACAGAACACTGGCCTCCACAAACAGTTCCTGCTGTCTGTGCTAACCCACAACTGCACAGCACACGTCTCCCGTGTCTCTCCACAGCTCACGTCACACACGCCCAACACTTGTGACTCACAAAACTATACAGATGCAGCGTTTGCTGATTTTCCAGGGCTACACTTAAGGAAGGAAAAAAAGATTTGGGAAAACCCCAAGACAATGCTTTGTGATTTGCTTACATAAATGTAAAGGTTATTTTAATCTGCACCCAGACAATGGAAATGTAAAATATCACCATCAGGTCGATGGTTTGAGTCTGATGAGTCCGTCCCTCTGTGCTTTCGTTTTCTCTTAGTCACCAACTATTATAGAGAGAAATCTCTGACGACAGAGGAAGGTAAAATGACTAGAAAAAACATGGAGACCTACGCGACGTCTTATGAAACACTAATGAGGCTAAACTCTGACTCGACTGTAAAATGGGATTCTGAGTATCACTCACGTGAAGGTGGTTTTCAAAACAGAAACTGCTGCGCGGAGCTGAAGAAACCCGGGCTACCACTGGAGTTAGATCTGCTAGAGATTGTTGGGGGAGAGATTAACATACATTCTGTGTCTTTCAAAAACTGTCTTCACTAGAGAAAAAAGCAGATGGGTTTTCCTAACGAGACAAGTCACGTAAAAGGTACGTCTGATGCTTTTTTGCTGTTTTGTTTTGATTCAGACATTTAAGTGAGCTGGAAGTTGCTGATAAAAGATCGGAAGTGCAGTGTAGCAGCTCCGTTAGACAGACTCCCTGCTTCTTGCAGCAACTCCTTCTTCTTCGTCTTTTTTGAAACAGATTTAATACCAACTTGAGTCAGTACAACTCCCCAGAAAGTGAAGCCCAGGGTGGATGAAGGGAGTGGGGTTCTGGCTCAGAATCCAGAATCGTGCTGTGGTAACCATCATGCAGCCAGTCCACCCCGTCCTCCTGAGGGTGACCCCCCTCTTGCTGGTTGCTTGGGTCTCACCGGGTCCCAGCACAGGAAGTTCCACATCCCGGGAAACTGCTCAGTCCCAGGGGCACCCACAGCTCATCACCTAAGGACTGGCCTCCCTGGCTCAAAGCTGTACACAAGACATCCTGGGTGGGATTTAAAGCGCTGTAAGATTTGTCAAGTTAAATCTATGTATTTTGTAGACTTAGACTCTTTGGTCTATTACCTACCCCAGCTTCAGTACCTAGGATTCCCAGCTAGTTACCACAAACACGTCATTAAAAACATTAAATGAGGCGAGCGTTTCTATTTGGTCAAAAATCTTCATTTTCTACTTACTTTTAAGGGGAAAAAAATCTAATCTCAGACAAACGGTCTGGAATATTTTTAAGCTCTCAGTATTTTACTTGGGAGAGAGATTTATTTGCCGTGCCTATAAAGTCCTTTGTGGAGGAACAGTTATTTCCCTGGTCCCTTGCCATATATCTGAGTACACAACGTAAACCAAAATCTGCCCCAAAGAAAACAAATCGAGATATCCCAAGATTACACACTAAAGGCAGTAAATGGCATTATTTGTGGCTTAATCTAAACTAAGAATCTTATGTTTACAGTGTTTCTCTGGAGCCAGTAACTGTATTAGCTTCCTAGGGCTGCTGTTACAAAGCACCACCAATTTGGTGGCTTCAGACAACACAAACGTATTATTTTACAGTTGTAGAGGTCAGAAGTCCAAAATGGGTCTTTAAAAAATTTTTTTATTTTATTTTGATTTTACAGAGAGGGGAAGGGAGGAAGAAAGAAAGGGAAAAGAAGTTATCGATACGAGAGACAAACATTGATCAGTTGCCCTCCATACAGGCCCTGACCTGGGATCGAACCTGCAACCCAGGCATGCGCCTTGACTGGGCATCAAACTGGTGACCTTTCGGTTTGGGGGACAACTCCTAACCAACTGAGCCACACCAGCCGGGGCCCAAATGGGTCTTATGGGCTGAAATCAAGGTGTTGGCAGGGCTCCATTCCTGCTGGAGACTTGAGGAAGCGGGCGAGCGGTGGTTGAGGGACTCTTTCTCGCCTTTTCCAGTTTCGTTCCTTGGCTGGTGGCCACAGCAGCATTCTCGTTGCTCCGATCTGTGCTTTCGTCATTATTTGGCCCTCACAGACTCTGACTCTTCGGCCCCTCCCTTCCATTTCTTAAGGACCCTTGTGACTGAATGGGGCTCACTTGGATAATCCCGGACAATCTCCCCATTGCAAGATCCTTAACTTATTCATATCTGCAAAGTCCCTTTTGCCATGCAAGGTCACATGTTCACAGGTTCCAGTGATTAGAACCCGGATATCAGGGGGGAGGGGGCGGTGGTGATGATTCTGCCACAGTAGTGAAGACACCATCTTAGAAAAGTTCCCAGACTTGATACCGACGGGACTTCTACTTTTGGAACTTATTTTCCTGAGTTTGTTGGGTAATTCCTTCCAAATATGTAGGTATCTAAAAGCTTCTGAATGCATTTGAAAAATATTTTATCGCACTGCACGCTAATGTCAGGGACAAGATGAAATGTACGGGGGTTCCAAAACCGATCAAGTCCACAGGCGAGATTTCTCCCGTTTCAAGGTGACCCCACCACGACCCTCATTATCCTTAGTCTTAGTACACACCAAGCCGTAGAACCACAAAAATAGTCCCACGCAATATTATACAATGTTTTACAGTAGACTAAGGGATTTCACAGCACGTGAAGGCTTCATGATGTAACAGTTGAAAGCAGAGACTCTGGAATCTGCAATGGACACAGATCCTGACGCAACCAGTGCGTGATCTAAGTCTCAGCTTTGCTGCTCGGGGCCTGCCCCATGATTCACTTGAGACTGAGGGAAATGAAGCCGATAAAGCCGTTGGCAGTATCTCCCCTGTTATTACCATAAAGATGATGTCATGCTAGACACAACCACCTCGATCCCCATTTTACGTACAATGACACAGACTCCCAGAAAAGCAAAGAGTGCGTCTACCAGGCACAACGTCCCTCACACGTCCAGGCCGCCTGGCACGCACAGCGTCCGCGCCCGAACACCGTTGTTTTCAGACAGTCTCCACGGGTCGACCTCACAACTGCTCCGTCACCTCTCGTATTCCCGGTTTCTGTGCCCACCCGTCTTCTATTCTCTGTTGCCTATCACAAGGTGTGGCCTTCGAGGTCTTCTTACATCCTAGAGATCAAACGTCAAATGTGCTGGGATTTCAAGACACAATTACAAAAACAGGTCCAGTTCATTGAAGGAATATCATACTCCCCATAATTTCCACTTCAATAACCTATAATTCACCCCACCCACTAAGTGGAAGGAAATGTTTGCAGATCATATATCAGATAAAAAATTGTATCTAGAATATGTAAAGAATTCTTACCATGTACAGACAAAACAATTTTTAAATGGGCAAAGGAGCTAAACAGACATTTCTCCAAAGGTACACAAATGGCTGACAAGCACATGAAAAGCTCGACATCATTAATCCTTACGAAAACGCCCACCAAACATATACACACACACACATATATGCATATTTGAGTACAGATAGATTATAGTCCATATTCATTTCTTTCGGGGCTACTGAAGGGATGATAGGAAATATTTCTTTTAAAAGGACATGGGTCTGACAAGTTCGAGACCCACTGACCCCGCAGCCAGCCCAGATTGTCTGTGCTCAGCGTGTGGCCTTTCAGGTAAGACTCTGGTGTTTTCTTCTGTTCTGTAACAGCTTCAGCCTGGAGGACTCCATGGGGAAAGCAACAGCAAAACTGTGAAACAATTTATCATTCTTCATTTCTGCCACTGACTTCTTCATTCAGGA